GGGGCCGAGGGGCGCCCCGGCTATAAAGGCCGGCCAAGCCGCTGCCGAAGCGGAGCGGGCCGGACGGCGGCGGCGAGGGCGCAGGCCTCGAGCTGGGCCCTGCCGGGCGGGCGGGCGGGCCGGCCAGCCAGCCGCCCCATCCCCGGCCGCCGCACACGCCTCTTCTTCCTCCTCCTCCCCGCGCCCCCTCCCGCTTACATGGCCACAATCCCAGGCACGCGCCCTCGCGGAGCGGCGAGGACAGGATCGCGCTGCAGCCCCGCATGCCGCACGCGCGCTCGGCCGCCCCGTGCACGGCTGGCGAGGAGATGCGCGCAGGATCGCGCGGGGATCGCGGCAGGGCACGGCTGCCGCCCTGCCGGCGCTCCCAGCTGCAGCAGCAGCAGCGGACCGCCGCGGGCCGGGCCGGGCCGAACCCTCCCCGCCAGCCGCCATCCTCCCTGGGCCAGGCTCGCCCAGATGCTCGGGGCGCAGCACGATCCTATGCCCGCCGGCCGCCAGGGGAGGGACTCCTCGGCCGAGCCTCGCGGGCCGGTCCTCCAGCAGGCTGCCTGGAAGCGCCTCGCTCGCTTGCTCCCGAGTCGCGTCTGCTCCGGACGGCAGCCCGGCAGCCCCCCCCCCCGCCGCGCGCGCGCGCACACACACACACAGGCGCGCGCCCCCTCGGCCCCGCGGGCCGCCCGTCACTCACCAGGGAGAAGAGGTTGGAGTGACAGTCCTCCAGGCTCGCCCCGTTCGCCACCGCAGTCATGGTCCTCCTCGGCGAGCCCGGCCTCCAGAGCGGGGCATGTCTGGGGGGGAGGCGGGGGGCGGAGGCGCTGCGCGGGCCGCGCGACGGGGCGCTCCGCGGGCCCCCTCCCCGCCCGCGCGCCCGCCCGCCCGCCTGCGCGGAGCGGAGCGGAGGCGGGAGCGGAGGAAGAGGAGGAGGAGGAGGGCGACGCCGCCGCCGCCGCCGACGGAGGAGGTGCCGGCGAGGACGGCGGGGAGCAGCCGCCTCTCGCCCCCCGCCACTCGCGCGGGCGGGGCGGGCCCCCCCCGCCCCCCCCCCCCCCGCGGGCGAGGGAGGCTCGTGGGAGGGGGAGCAGCCCCCGAAAGGGGCGCGGGCGGCGACGGCAAGCGGCGTGTGACGAGGCGCGCGGCGGTTCGGTTCCGAGCAGGCGCCGCCGGGCGGGTCTCTCGCTCGCTCTTCGCGGAAGGAAGGAAGGAAGGAAGGAAGACGGGAGGGAGGGAAGGAGGGAGGAAGGGGCCTCCCTCTCGGCGCGGCTCGCTCTCCTCCCGCACAGCCCGGCTATTGATCGAGCGCGCCTCCCCCTCGCTCGCCGCCGCCGCCGCTCCTCCTCCTCCTCCTCCTCCTCAGTCTCGCTCGCTCGCTCGCTCGCTCGCCTTCTCCCCGGCGGGCTCCCCTCAGCGCCGCCTCACGCCTCGCACACTCGCTCCCTCGCACGCGCTCCCGCTCGCTCGCACGGGCGCGCGCGCGGCCTCCGCTCTGACAGCAATGGCGGCCGCCCGCCGCACCGCGCTGCGCCATTGGCCCGGCGCGCCCCACGTGGGACGGCGCTCCTGGCAGGACGGGAAGGAGGGGGGCGCCGAGAGAGAGCGCAGGCAGGCAGGCAGGCAGGCAGTCGAGCGACGCGCCTGGCTCGCTCGCGCTCTGACAGGCGCTCCGGCGGGAGGAGCGCTTCTGCTGCGCCGCCGCCGGGGGCGCTGCGGAGCCGAGGGCGCCGCGCGGGCGCTCGCCCTACCCCGCGCGTGTGGGATGCGCGCAGGGTGCTGCAGGCGCTCGCTCGAGGGCGGAGGCGCCGGAAGCTCGGCCGGGTGTGCGGCAAGGAGCGGCCTGCCAGGCGAGGTCAAGCCGGACGCCTGTGGGAAAGCCCTAAGGGGGAAAGCCCTTTCCTGCTCTGATCTTGGCGGGAGTAAGCGTCACTTAATTACTTATTTATTTATTTATTAAACGCTTTTGCGTGCTGCCCTATTATAGAACAATCTCAGGACGGCTTACAATATTTAAATACTTGCACCCGTATCTCCCACGAATTTATGGGACCCCCTTTTGAGAATCGAACAAGAGCCCTGCTGCATCAGACACGGTCCACCTAGCCCAGCATTCTAGCCACGCAGCAACCACCCCATTGCCCACAGGACATGCATGTGCAGGACCCATGTTCCCCAGCAACTGGTGTATATGAGCATGCTGCTTCAGATATGGGCATAACGGACTAGCCTGCAGCACCTCCGAACAAAGCCTTCTGCTTTCCTGTTGTCAATTCCTTCCTTTTCCCCAGTGTCAAATTTTAGATTTCAAGTTTTGCAGGGTTTTTCTGGTACTGGGAGTCCACAGTGCAGCTTTCCCCAACCTGGTGCCATCCGGTTGTTTTGGGCTTCAGCCTCTATCAGCCCCCATGGCCAGGAATGCTGAGAACTATTGCCCAAATATCTGAGGTCTGGGGAAAACTGCTGTGCTCAAGGATGCTACGCGCAGAAGAATTTACACTAATGAACCATCTGGGACACATTTTTAATCATGATATTTATGTGCCATTTCTGTAAAAGAAATGTCTAAGCAATGTATTAAAAACAATCGAACGGTGGGAGTTCAGGGCTGTTTTTTTCTGTTGGAATGTGCACAGGGTAGCAACCTGGTTTACTTTCGATTGGAAACCAGCTCTCAGCCCAACCTACCTCTCTGGGTTGTTTTTAGGATCAAGTACGTGGAGAAAGAATTATGTATACTACTTTCTTGGAAGGCAGGTGGGATAGAAAGATAACAGTAAAACTACAGGTAGTTGTTGCATATGTCTTTGTCAGACTAGCCAAGCTGAATTTTTTAATCCTGACAGTTCTCCAATCCAGGGGTTGGAACAGTTGGTCTAAAATCTGTTAGAAAATAAAGCTTTCTACAGAAACCTACTCTTACTCAGTTTTTCAGCAATTATCTTTGTTAAATCATGAGGATTACGAGAATACCTAAGTCAGTCCACATGAAATCAGTAAAGTACACTTTTGAATTATTAGGAATTGGCCGAATCTCAAATAAGAAATTTTAAAGTATAACAACATCGTAATTACAGTTAACATTTTGACAGTACTTTAATTGCTGGCAATAATGAAGGAGCGGAATCCTATTGCCTTTAACCGTTATCACTAGAGGCCCTTCTGCTCCTACCAAGAGACAAACATTGGCAGGGGGTTCATTTTCACTCCTCACAACCCCTGACACTTTGCCAAATATGCCTCACAATTTTTTGATGTCTGTCGTCTTTCCCACAATGCTCCTAAATGCTGTTCTATGTAAGGCAGTGTTAAGGGTTCCCTAGAACTGGATTGTCAATGCAAGACCTTTGATGTTTCTGTTTATACTGGAAGCATTCTCTGGGTGGATGGATGGATCAATCGATCGATCAATAGATAGGCAATTACTTACAATGACCACTTCACAAGTATCTGTTTGCCTCCCTGTTTTTCCAAGAATATTCACCAAAATGGCCCCTCCGACTTTTCCACCTGCAAAGGTGTAGGTGTGGGCTGTCCATTTTCACACCACTCACCCTTGCATGCCTTCTCACGAGCCCACTTTTCTGTCCCTCCGCTCCCTCTAACTATGGGGCAAGGGAGGCAGTGAGAAACCGGGGCCAAGAGAGAGCATGCCTCGCCTTTCCCCGCACAGGGAAGACGCGTGACCCGAGGAGAAAGTGGCAAGAGGCAGCCTGCTGTTTTCCGCGCACAGTGCCAGCGTGGTCAAGATAGCAATCTGAACTGACAGCCACATGGGCATGTGTTGGAGAGTCCCGTATTTTTTGTAGCACGAAACCACAATAAATTTGTGTGTTCAGTAAGGCTCTGGAACAGGGAAGGGCTTCTTCCGTTGCACCGAAGCAGTGCATGCAGCCGAGAAAGTGGGACTTCTCAAGCAGGAAGCTGATGCTGACGCCTCCCCTGTGAACCAGCAGGTGTAAGGCATCTCCACCACGTCCTCCGACATCCTTCTTTTCCCACAGAATCATCGCTCTACCCCCCTGCCTCAGAAACAGTACTATTTTTAATTTCCCCTACAACTTTTTAGTTCTACCAAACCTCAGATCCAGACCCTGCCTTCCGCTTTTCTTATTTCCGCGCACACACAAATTATGTGTGTGTGCAGGTTATGCAACACAAATCAGGCATGTTCTTCCCCATCCCATGCGCTTCTAGCCTTTTGCACTTCCCCTTTTCCCCATCTCCGCATCAGCAACATGGTGGTGGATTTTGCAGTACATGAACCCATCATGACCTCCCCACTGGCCCATCCCAAGGACTGGCCAGAAATGGAGGCAGCTGAGTTGAACCGTATCACCCAGCTCATTCCAGCAGTCTTTTTAATCTGCAACTGAAGCAGGACTTCGATAAAGCTGTTGGATCATGCATGCCCAAGACAACACTGCCGCCACCCCAGAATGCTTGGCATTCATTTCTCCCCAGCCACTGTGTGGATCGCAGCTTAGCTCAGGGAGGAGAGGGAATTCTGAGAAAGGGGGGCCTGCAGCATTCCTGCCAGCTTTGGGTCCCTGCCAAGGCCGGCTGCAATATCCCACTGCCGGCAACCTCCATTCCTTGTCACCCTCGTCCTTGACGATCCTTTAGCTACCCAGAGAGGTTGGCAGAGCTTCTGCCCTCAGCATGATGGTAGAAATGGACACGCTTCAGGCCTGTGGAATCTACTTTGGGCTAGAGGCAGAATTATTTATTTTATGTATTTAAAACTTTTATATCCCATCCTATACATAGAAGTCTCAGGACAATCCAACAGCAAAGACACAGCATCACATCTATAATAAACTCCCAATTAAAATAGAAATTAGGTCTTGAAATATTGGGAAAATAATAAGAGTTTGGCCTAGCGCCAAAAAGAATACAGAGTTGGCGCCAGGCACACCTCTCTGGGGAGCACATTCCGGAACCGGGGCGCCACCACAGAGAAGGCCCTTCTCCGGGTAGCCACTCTTCTAATCTCCTTCAAAGAGGGCTCCCAAAGAAGTACCTTTGACCTAGTTCTTAGGGGGCAGGCAGGCACGTGAATTAGCCATACCCAGAATAGATCCGCTGAGATCAGTTCTGTGACTAAGTCTGGATTTGATCCATTCCTCTGACTAGAACCCCCAGATCCTCCAAGAGAGCTGGTTGCATTTGGAATTAAGGAGCAGGTCGTTATTGAGCATATCGGCCTGTGAAATACTTTTCAGTACCAGAACTGAACTCGTGGGTCTTTCAACATAAAGTCCTCTGCAGGTTCTCTCCTCCTGCTCACATTGATCTTTGCTTCAGGAGCCAAATTTAGAAATGGCAGGGGAGAGCCTCTTTGCAGTGTAACCCTAGACAGGTCTGCTCAGTAGTAAGCCCTTCAAGTAACTCCTAGGTACGTGGGTATAGGATTGCAGCCTTTGCGTCCCCTCGATCTCCAGCACCCAAACCGTGAGTGCCCATTTCCTGCAGCCAGAAGGGCATGCTGGCATAGGGGAACCCCAAGGTTTGCAGAAGTGCAAAAGATGTCTTTGAATACACAACTTTACGGGTGGAAAACCTTAAAAATGGCTGAATGCGCAGTGGCCACAGAGGGCTTGGGGACAAAGAGGGAGGGGAGAGAAAGGAAAATTCGTTGCGGGAGGAATGGAGCTCTGCAGAGTATCACTGCACACAGCAGCAAGAAACTTGCAACGGATAAAGAGTCTTCTGCTAATCACTGAGAGATTTCCACAGGTAGAGCGTGTTCTCTCTTCTGTCCACGCCTGATTTACATACTGCTTCTATACGTTTAGGTTCATG